AGTATGAGGCACCGCCTCGAAATTTTTTCTTCGGTATATATATAAATACGACGCAGCCGATTCGTGTTTGTGTATTCGCGTATAGGATTAGGGCTTCCTGTGAGAATTGAAAGGCGAACTAGAGGCGAAGCCGTGAGGGAAAGAGACGAAGCCGTGAGTGCAGGAGACGAAGTCAGAAGGAGACGACGCAGGAAACGAATCCAAAAGCAATAACGGTTTCGAAAGCAGGAAACGAAGCCGAAGTTGTGAGTGCAGGAAACGTTCAGGCCTCGGTTAGGTCGGAAGAGCAGGTGAGCAGTGTTGTGGCCTTAACTTTGAGGTGTAGTAAAGAAAGCTTGAATAACTCCTGATTCGGCTTTATTTTATTCGTCCGCTCAGTACATGCTCGGTACCGCTCAGTACATACTAGGTACCGCTCAGTACATGCTCGGTACTGCTAGGTACAGCTCAGTACCGAGCCAGCACCGCTCGGTACTGAGCGGTACATGCTCGGTACCACTAGGTACACGCTCGGTACCGAGCAGTATATGCTCGGTACTGAGCGATACATGCTCGGTACCAAGCAGTATATGCTCGGTACTGAGCTGTACATGCTCGGTACTGAGCGGTACAACAAGCAGAATTTTAAAATTACTCTTATAATAAAATTTTGTTCCAGGGGCGCTGCCCCTTGACCCCGCGATCTGACCAGGCAGGTCGAACCCCGCCAAGAGGCAGCGCCCCCTTGGACCCCCGGTAGACTGGTATATTTTTGTATTCATGTTGTTTTATTATTGGTATTTGGTAGTACAAATAATTGTTAACATATGTCCTATTATTAGCATAACTAGTCGTACAAGAAGGAAAGATCCTGCATGGAAATATGAAACTCAAGTTGAAGTGTCTGGCGAAGGTGCAAAGAAGGGATATGTTTACATGAAATGTAATTTCTGTGAGAAACGCATAACTGGTGGCGTTAAGAGGTTGATGGATCATCTAGCCTGTACTCATGTCAATGTGGGACCATGTGCAAAAGTACCTGATGAGGTGAAAAATGAGTGCACAGATTATTTAAAGAAGTTTGCCACCACAAAGGAGGTTACACAAAGAAATATGGAAGAGATGATAGGAAACTCTTCTTTTTATGGATCATTACATGAAGGTTCCAGTAGTGGAAGCCATCTAGTTTCTTCTAACCGAGGCACTCGAGGTCCTATGGATAGAATTATGATAAATATTGATGACGAGGATAACATAAACACTCAGGATCTTCAGCCTCATACTGCCATAAAAGAACTCAGGAATAGGGTTTGTTTGGATATCGCTAGATTCATCTATGAAAATGGGATTCCATTTAATGTTGTTAGGAGTCCATCATGGATTAATATGTTACGATCTGTTGGAAGCTATGGAAGAGGACTACAACTTCCAAGCATGTATGAACTGAGGACTTAGATGCTGAATGAGAAGGTCAAGACAACTTCAAAAATGGTGGATGATATTAAGAAGACTTGGATTGAGACAAGAGTCACAATAATGTCAGATGGTTGGTCAGATATTCGATATAGAAGTATTATTAATTTCTTGGTCAACAATCCATATGGAATAGTTTTTTTAAAATCAGTGGATGCTTCAAGTTTTGTAAAGGATGCACAATTATTGTTTGAAATGTTGGATGAAGTTGTTAAGGAAGTGGGTGATGCTTTAGTAGTACAAGTTGTTACTGATAATGCAAGTGCATATAAAGCTGCAGTGAGAATGTTAATGGAGAAGAGGCCTCACCTTTACTGGACTCCTTGTGCTGCACATTGCATTGATTTAATGCTTGAGAGGTTGGGACAGTTGCCTCAGCATAAATCAGCCTTATTGAAGGCCAAATTCGTTAATAAGTTCATATATAATCATTCTTGGGTACTCAATTTGATGAGAAAATTCACTGACAAGGAAATTATTAGACCTGCTGTTACGAGATTTACTACTGCATATTTAACATTGCATAGATTCAAGGAGTTAAGGCAACCTTTGGAAGCTATGTTTGCTTCTGAAGAATGGGATAAAAGTTCATGGGCAAAAAAACAAAAGGAAAACAGGTAAAAAAATTGTTATGAAAGATGATTCATTTTGGCGCAGTACAAATTATGCTTTGAAGACAACAACACAATTAAGGTGCTTAGAATGGTTGATGGTGAGAGGGCCCCG